TCTTCTTGACCTTCACCAATGAATTAAATCCATACACAGCACATGACCACTCAGCCACAGAGACTAGAAAATTGTTTGTAGAGTCTCTTCCAAACATATCTCATGTGGCAAGAACACTGAATATAAAAAGTACGACCGGATTTCCAGTCCTGCTGGTGTTTGTTCTAACTATGCTTTTATTTATTTATTTGCTTATTTATTATTTATTTATTTTTGTCTTTTTGAGACAGGGTCTTACGATGCAGCTCAAGCTGGCCTTGAGCTCACTTTGTAGCCCAGGATGGTCTCGAACTCAAGGATCCTCCATGCCTCAGCCTCCGAGGGTTGGGATTGCAGGTGTGCACCACCATGCCTAGCTCTAACTACACTTTCTAACTTAGCAGATACCATTTCCAGACACTCCACAACATAGCCTTACTTCATCCCAAAGCTAATTCTCAGCTTGCTAATGAGAAAATGGAGATGGCAGAAAACAGCTGTTCAAGGTTTTGCTGCCAACAAGCTGATGAGCCATGATTTGGTTGCATGTTAGCACTAATACCTGGAGGTATCCGCTCTTCTATACCATTGCTCTTAAAATTTCTTTCTTGTTTTGTAGTTTTTTCATAGTGTTCTACAAATACCATTCTTCCAATATTTTAACATTTCCTGTCAGTATCACAGTTGTGACCACTTTTATTCTCACAAGATGCCATAATGCAGGGTACTACCATTATACTGGACATTGTGTCTAGAATAGAGTGTAGACTCAGTATTTTTTCTGTTTCACAGAGGAAGTATTTATCATCTCTAAGATTTAAAGACATTCATAATTCAACAGATGCAACACCATATAAGTCTATAAAGCTTTAAATTGTTCAAGTACTTGGAAGCAATAGGGATAAGTAAAATTAACGCACAAATCCATCATGCAAATATTAGCCAAGATACAGTTTGGTTAAATGTTTGTAAATTGTGCTAACATGAACCCATCATTCTTGAGAGTGATGCTTCATACTTGGAGAGAAAAAAAAAATAAAAATATATTAGAGAAGAGAGGATTGTACATGACTCCTATTTGGCACTTTTACTTGAAAATGATTTTAGTTTCTCCCCAAGTTTTGAAAACGGTATTTCAACTACAGTCCACATGAAAATATTAGTTCTTAAAAAAAAAAAAGATAGAGGAGCCGAGGAAATTAGCTCAGTAGAATAAGCGCTTCTCTGGCAAGCACAACGGCTTGAGTTCATTCCGCAGTTCCACACACACACACAAAGGTGGATAAGACAATTATAGCTGTACATAATTTTCAAAATCTTTTAGGATGAAAACCATAAAAAAATAAAATAATATATAATAAATATAATAAATTAACTTAAATTAACTTTCACTAAAATCCAATTTTAGCTGCATTTGGTGGTATACACTTGTAATCCCAGCAATTTGGGCAGCTAGGGCAAGAGGTTTCTAAGTTTGAGAACATCATGGGCAATTAAACCACTGAGCAAGACTCTCTCAAAATTAAAAATATTTGAAAAAGACATCTGGAGATGTCACTAAGTGTGAAGGCCATGAATCGTGGAAGGAAGGAAGGAAAAAGGAAGGAAGGGAGGGAGAAAGGGAGAGAGGGAGGGAGGAGAAAAGGATGAAGAATTTAAAGGTACAGCCTCCAAATTTCTCTCTATTGAAAAAATTAGATGTATTTGTACTTGAGTTTATATAAAGGAAGGAAACCAATTGCACCACCGAAGCAGTAACTGATAAAATATCTCAGTTAAATTACTAATATTTTTACCATGTTCATGCTACACATAAAAAAGTGAAGGATTTCACTTTGTAAAATAACATGGCCAGTGGCACTCAACTTGCAAGGAATCAAATTCAGTTCTATTTAACGTTAAGCCTGTGTCTACCCTTGTCTTTACATTAAATATAAATAGCATCATGTGGCTTGTGGCTATCATGTGCATACAGCTAGAAAATAAAGCACTTCCTTTGCTGGAGAGAGCATTTCTCTGACTATAATCCAAGCTGGACAGATGATGCTAGTTGACTAATTTTTTTGTTGTTGTAGTTGCTGCCTCAGTCCTCCGTGGGGTGGGGCTGGCGCAGCATGTGGTAGCAGGGATTGAACCAGGGTCCCTGTGTGCTCTCCCAAATTTGCTTAAGCAGGTTCTTTAGACTGCTGAGCTATCTCACCAGCCCAGTTGACTACTATTAACGTCCCCTGTTTGGAAACAATGGCAACTTACTGGAGAGTGAAGTATAAAGTGCAAAGGATTTGAGACTCGATAATTCTTTCATTCTTGTTTCTTCCACACTTTTGCAGAAAATGTGCTCCCAGGCATACAACTTTAGAAGTTTGATGCCTTTCAATATTTCATTTGTTTTCTTCAGTCTTTCAGTGGAATAATCCTATAAAAGCAATAGCGTAAAATATAGCACAAGCTATGCCCAGCTGAACTCAAAAAGTAGGACACAGGAATAGACTGAGGCTGAGATTTCAATTTTTGACTCACTCTGACACTAATCAGGCTGTCAAATTCCTAGAAAGAGTTAAACTCATGGCACACTGATGCCTCAATTTAAAATGAAGAATTTAAAGATATGGCCTCGAAACTTTTCTCTGCTAAAAAAAAAAATTATACGTATTTGTTATTTGGTTTATATAAAGTAGTTTCTTCAGTTTATCATGATTTTCTGGAATAACTGCAGATAATATAGACATGAATCTTTAGAAATAATAAAGAAAAAGCAGCTCTCAATGTCTAGATTATTTTATTCTCCCTTCTGCCCTATCATTTATATTTCAATGAAGAAAAACCATGAATTTAAGAAAAGTTTATCTTACTAATGTACAATACTATATGCATTCACATGCTGTTTTCATAGTGCAGTTATGGAAACTAAAGTTATCTTTAATTCCAGGTGATTTCTACATCCGTCTTTTTAAGCTCTTATTTTTAATTCCTAATTTAGGTGTACCATATACTAACAACTTGGATTAATGATAGAGAGCGTCTAATCCACTGTGTATCTTCCTTCATCACCAAACAATGTACTAGAATTATTAGCAAGGTGGAATACAAGCTGTACCTATCCAAAGGGATGACAGAGTGGACAAAGTACAGATAGGAAGAAGCAAAAGTAGCCAATGGGCTGTATTTAGTTCTTCTTTTTCACTTTACAGGGTCTTAAATGCTTAGGATGGTTCATTGAGTAAATGGATATGCTATGAACAGCTAAACAAAGAGAGCTGCACGGGGTAGTCCCATCTCCATTTATGTCCCTCTTTCACCCCTTTCTATATTTATGTGGTGGAACAAAAAGGGTAGATGGGTCAGACAGAAACAATGAGTAATTTCACCAGAAGTACAAGAAAGCCAACTAATAAAAAGCCATTCTTGTGACAGCAACTTGCTAGTTGCGGTAGAAACATCAGCGTGAGAAGCCATTTCATTAGCGGGCTGTTCCTACATTTTATGGCTGACTTACAGACAGTCTAGTTCATATTCAGTTAAACGTTATTTCTAAACATGCTGCCAACAATTTTATTATTTGCAAGTATGTTTTTCAGAGCTGCTAATTCTTGCTTAAATAAAATGATTTCATGGCAAATCGAGGGCAGGAGGGTCAATAATTGGGCTTATGTCTGCTTTGCTAAGTTGACCAGGAACTTATTCAGCCAGAGCAGCTGCCACTACAGTATTTTCTATGTAACTCCACACCTCATGGTCTGGTAAACATCTACCTGAGGGAAATGTAATTTCAGAGCCGCCAAACCTGACCCTTCACTTGCCTCTGGATTCATGTTAACAACTGACATCAATTGTCTCAAAGTACACTAAAGCGTATTCTTTGAAGAATAAATCAAAAAGGAAAAGCCAAAGCCGCATTCTCTTGGCACTTAGAAGCATTAAGAGAAGGGATTCTGGAAGTATGAATCTAAGATTTTCACATCTTAATTTTTTAAAAGAGAATAAAAATAGTAAAAAACAAAGTATAAATGGTACAGAATTTCACTAACCACAATGATAGGGTTTCAATAGTAGTTGTTATATTGCCCATTGCTGCCTTCAAATTAGTTATTCAGAATACCAGGTATAGGCATGAAAAATTGGTCAAAACATTTTTATTCCACTTGTAAAGTCTGTTTTCACAGTTGTACATGATGTCTTATCCCTGTAATTCTAGCTGCTTGAGAGGCTGAGGCAGGAGGATTGTAAATTCAAATCTAGCCTAGGCAATTTAGTAAGACCCTATTTCAAAATTAAACAAAATACCTAAAAGGGGCTGGGAGTGCAGTTAGTATGTCCAGCATGTACTAGTTCAATCCTTAGTACCAACAATGAAATGGTTTTTGCCACACAGAAAACACACATTTGTTGCCTAACAATCGCAATGAAATACAACGATTCTAAAATTATTCAGCGTCACGTATGAACTCTGTATGTTATAAAAATAAAACAGCAGTTTGGGATTTTCCTAATGAATTTTCCAAAAGATGCTACTTACAAGAGTGCTCTTTTGAGCTTCTGCCAACTTTGTAGCAATGAAGTACTGAATTGGCGCGAGGAGCACAATGACAGCTGCGCCCACCAACGCACTTGATCCAAGTAAATTATAGAGCAAAATCACTCCCATGATGATCTGGGAAGGAAAACATATGGAAAACGGAAAATAAATGGGGCTGCAGGAGCCACTGCATGGAAAGAAATATTTTTAGTGAAAGTGCAATAATTTAATTATTCCATTAAGTTTACTTGGAAATCAACTCAACTGTGACAGTCGAGTTTTAGTGTGGTTTATTTGGGGACGGCTAAGTACTAGGAATTTATTTTTAGTGTAATGATTTGTTCAACTGGTGTCAAATCAATTTACTACATGAATTTGCGGAGAGGTCCCATGATGCTTCTGACCTTACAAAGCAATCTTTTTTTTAAAAGGACACACACACACACACACACACACACACACACTTTTGAAAATAGTGTTACCCACCACAAATTTGACATTGCACATTCTCTTGAAATTGCACTAGCTTTTCAAAGCTATGGGACTGGAAAGTATAAATAAGCATTATAGATGAGTACAGGATCACTGCTTATTGACCAAAATTACTCTACTGGCTCAATGACCCCAAAAGTCGCTTAAAGGCATGACAACTAGGACTAATTAAAACCATTAATAAACCAAAGTTACTGCTGGAGCACAAGCTTCCTCACTTCCCTTTTCAAATGTTTCCCAGGCTCAGTAATGAACTATTTATGCCTAACTTCTCTCTACTTTGCTACTTTCTTCTTCCTTTAATTCTTGAGATTTAATATCATGGTCTTCTCTCCCTTGTTTTTCTCCAGAAGCTTAATTCATCATGAATCAAAATGTCACACAATGCACCATATCAGTGTAGTTCAAGCATATCATCTATGCCTATGTGTCCACAATAACAGCTTTCTGGTGGAGGTGACGGGTGCACTTCCAACCAGTTAAGTACTTGAGGAATTCCATTCAAAACATAACATTCTCTCAGGGCTGGCCAAATAGCTCAATGGATTAAAGCACCTGCAAGCAGGCACAGGGACCAGGGGTTCAATCCCTGAGCCTGCCATGCCAGCTCCACCCCCGGGGTGCACTGAGACAGCAATAGAGACCGAGCATGGTGGCACATGCCTGTAGTCCCAGTTCTTAGGAGGCTGTAAACAGGTGGATCTGATATACACAGTGAGACCCTGGACACCCTGTAGACCCTTCCCAAAATAAAAATAAACCCATAACATTCTCTCCAGTCACCTATGATTCAGGCAGTCAGTGTAACCTCTGCTTTCTGGTGCACTCCAAATAATACTACATGGGCAGTCACTTGATTGAGATACTCTATATAAGTACATTTGATAAAATGAGACAAACTATATTTTTTTTGCACTGTGCATTTGGTATGATATACATTTTTAATTTGACCTGACATTCCATTAAAAAGTAAAAATACAAATAATAAATTTAAAAGCAGGCATACATTATTATTTTATGCTCTGTAACAAATGCAATACACAAGGCAATGTAATGGACTGCATCAAATGAGATCTACAATTTAAGCTCCATCTACAGGATATAAAATTTGGGACAATTGAAAAATATACAATATTATAGAAAAGAAAAACGAAATATGCTTCTTTACCATTTTTATTCAACTGGCTTAAAAAATCACGTATCATTACTGAAATTCTAGGAGATAGTGATGTAACCCTTAAGCTTATCCCCACTGTCTTATAATGTTGGAGATTTTGTAGAACACTAGCTATTGAAAATATGAGATGCAGATACCTGTGAACTAAGCAACTTCACTGAGGAGAGCAATGTGTAATACCAAAACCATGCTTGAAATACCTGTCATCTTGGACCTCTAAATGTGTACTGTTTCTAATTTCATATCAGTTATTACTATACTCTCTTTAAAGTAAGTGTTTTTTGAAGGGCTACAAGGACAGTCAACATTTTGGCCCTAGCCTTTCAAGGTCTGTAAGGTCCCAGGAAATAGGAGAACCTGTACTATAACATCCTGTAACTCAGTTGTGTCCCAAATTTTCTGATCAAGGAGATTTTGGGGCCATATAGTAAAGTGATTGATGATGTAGAGTGTGCCTAAGGAGAGTCACATGGAAAGAAAACATTCTCTCAGGCTTTCACAGAGAGCAAATTGGTCAAGCAATGGCCGTGACTCATCCATATGGCTGACACTGACAAAGGATCTACAAACTGAGGTACAGAGTTTCAGGGTAAATCCTGAGGGAATTTGAC